TGTGTGGATTACACATAATATATAGATTATATATCATCTGTGTTTTTACATCTGTGCTCTGGACTGAATGCATGCATCCTCCAAAATTCATATATTGAAACCTTAATTCCCAATGTGATGCTATATAGGGGTAGGGCTTTTGGGAGGATATTAGGTTTAGATTAGATAGTAAGTATGGAAGACCCATGGTCAGATTAGTGGATCTATAGGGAGATGCAGGGACAGAGCTCTCTCTCTTTGCCAAGTGAAGGCACAGGGAGAAGGCAGCTGTTTGTGAACCAGAAGGATGATCCTCACCAAGAATTTGACTATAATGGCATCTTAATATTGATCTTCCAGCCTCCAGATCTGTGAGAAATAAATGTTTTTTTGAAACCAATCTGTGATATTCTGTTATAGCAGCCCAAACTATGTGTAACTATTTATGTTAAAGTAAATATGAGTTTATACTGATGACTCCAATTCTAATCCCTTAATATAGGTATCATTCCAGACTTCTCTTCTTGCTCGTCTATAAACTACCAGTCTAAGAGCGAAAAACCTGGCTCCAACTGTAACACATCCATGCACTTACCTGTTCAATCTCAGCATTCATTACACTGGATTTGGAATTGTTATAGTTTATTCCAATGGAAATTACTTTTAACAACTTGCAGGCAGTAGCCAGATATAATTTCTTTTGTTTTTATCCTTACATATCCCATTCATTTTCAAAATTACTTAGGTTGGCTCTTTTCTCACCCATCAATGTCAGTTATGTTATGTTACATATTAGTAATAAACTTTTCATCACAGTCTGCATTCTAGAGTCCCCACATCTCTTAACTGAGGTTTTAAAATTTGTATACACAGTTCACTCTTTGCGTTTTAAGGTTGTATGTGTTCTGAAAAATACCTAGTATTGTGCATCCACCAATACAGTATCAAACAGAATAGTTTTAAAGCCTTAAAAAATTCCCTGTTCTCTGTATATTCAATTCTCCTTTATCTCATGAGATTAATGGCAATCTTTGTTCTGTTTCCGTGAGTAGCTTGACTTTCTCTAGAATGTGATATAAATGGAATCATAGAGTATGTTGCCTTTATAGACTCACTTTTTCACTTAATGATATGCATTCAAGATTCATCCAAGTTGCTTAGATTGATAGCCCTAGCCCATTTTTAATTGCTGAGTTAGATTTTATTCTATGGATGTACCACAGTTTGTCTTTTCACCTATTAAAGAATATCTTTGCTGTTTTGTTTTTTTGACAATTATGAAGGAAAAAATTTCTATAAACTTCTGCGTGTAGGTTTTAGATAAAACTCAGTTTTCAAATCAGTTGGCTAAATGCTTAAGAATGCCATTGCTGAGTATGCTAAGTCTATATTTAGCATCATGTGAAACTGAAAAACTATCTTCTCAAATGGTTGCACTGTTTTTAATTCCAAATAGCAATGAATGAGAGTTCCTATTGCTTGCACGCTTACCAGTAATTGATATTGTCAGGTTTTAGGTTTGAGTCACTCATAGATATGTTATAGTGTCTCTTAGTTGTTTTAATTTTCCTTTCCCTAATGACAAATAATGTTGAATATCTTTTCACGTATTTACGTATCATCTGTATGTATTCTTTGGTAAGGTGTCTATTCAGATTTTATTTTTTTGAGCACTTTTAAATTGTTAACTTTAAGGATTTTTTTTTTTTTTTGGTATTCCAGATAAGAAGTCTTTTATCAGAATTTGCAAATTTTCCTCCATATCATTTTATCTTTACAGTGCCTTTTGCATATAATAAGTTTTTAATTTCAATAACCCAAATTATTACTTTTTCTTTCACAGATTGTGCTTTAAATTTTTATCTAAATTCTCATCAACATGCTTAAAGTCATATACATTTTCTTCTGTGTTCTCTTTATGAATTTTTGTACTTTTCATCTTATGTCTTAAATTCATTTTGGGTTAATTTTTGTGAAAGTTGTAAGGTCTGATCTAGATTCTTTTTTTCTTTACTTTGCATAAAATGTTCAAATGTCCCAGCACCACTTCTTGAAAGAATCCATTCTTCACTGGGTATTATCCATTTATGTGTTGAAAATCAATTGACTCTACTTGTGTAGATCTTTTCTTTCTTGGTTCTCTATTCTATCCTATTCATCAATATGTCTATTTCACCAATGTCATGTTTTCTGATTATATTATTTTATAGCAATTCTTTAAATTGAATGATATATGCATTATTTTTGCCCATGGTCTAGTTCTCATATTTTCCATCTTAACCAGAAATTAAATCCTTGTTTGTATTTATGTACTAAAGCTATATTTTAGCACATCTCTGGAGTTAAGCACTTGTTGCTATTGCCTTTCTCCCTAACACATCTGATACTCTATTGTGATCTCATGTTGAGTGACCGGAGTCTTGTACCTGCTGACAAAATTTATTTCCAATATCATTACAGTATTAATTGACCTTAATTGTCTACAGTTATATTGCCTATTATAATATATCTTTTAGAAATATTACTTGATATTCAAATTTCTTCTTTAACAGAAGCACAGTTATTCTACTTCAGGAAAAACTTGTATCTTGTGAGTGTGGTAGAGAAGAGAGATACTTAGAAAAGATTATAATTTGCAAAATAAACTGTGTAATGACCCCATTATTTGTTATCCAAAGTCATATGTCAAATTTAACTAGCTAGTAAATAATAATGTGTTGGATAAAAGATTAATTCATGTTAAAATAGATCACATTTGTGTAATTTCTCATTTATGTATTACTTTAAAAAGCATGAATTAATTTAAGGTAAAAGCTATAAACAGATATAATACAAGATTACATCACCTTCACTTGCATCATTTGCAAATTATAGGTCTGTTTTGTAACACAGAAAATGCTAAGAATTTCTTCTGTCTTTGGGACCTTTGTTGTAAAATATTCTTGCTTTGCTTTTACACATTTCATTGTTTATTATCATTATTATTTAATTATCAGATCTTGTAAAAAGTGTCTAATTCTCAGTCTTTCTAATTTGTAACATCATCAATAACTTTGGTGGCAAGTATCAGAAAGGCAACAACATCAAATGAGTGTGAGCGATGGAAATGGATACAGGAAATAGATTTTTGCTCTCCTGCAGTTGTAGGCTATAACCAAACTTATTTTAGGGCCTTTAAAGTAGGAGAGCTGCCAGGGGAATACAAATCATGACTGCCACAAAAGTGATATCCATAGATTGATGCATTCTGTAGAAGGTAGAAAGGTTGTATGTTATGGACATTAGAATCATTTTTCTTGTCAGAAATAAATGGTGCACAGTCTTCTTTGCCCTTGCCAACACTTTGCCGACTTTAGTTTTCAAGATAGTTGTCTTGTGTGCTGCTGTATGGGAAAAGTTTTGAAAAATTTAAAAATAATTACCATCCACAGTCCAGATTTATAGAAAAAATGTGATATGAATCAATTACTTTGGAGGTCGGTAATTAATTTTTCATAAAACTGAAGAGTATTTTTCTCTAGCTCAGGCTCTAAGATTCACTGTTGGATTTAACATACTGAAACTGATTTTTCTTGCTCTCTGTTTTAACCAGAAAAAAAGAACATGAGTTCATGTCACTTAATGCCCTGAATATTGGCATAATCAAACAGAATTTGGCAAGAGCAAAAATGTGTATAATACCAATGGCCATTTTAACAGTTTTCTAACAGATGTTTGTTCAATATATGAAGTGGTAGAGGTCAACATAAGCCAAATTTTAAAATTATGTTTGGTAAATATCTAATAATCAACAAATCTTATATTTTAGTAACATATTTGACCATACCTTCAATCTATTTCCTTTTATGACAAATCTTTTTCTATCATTATGCTAGTTTTTGTCATATAAACTATCATTAAAAAATACATTGACTTGCTTTTTACCTCTTCTCAGTAGAAAATGTATTTCACTTACCAGTTTTCTCTGCTTTATATGCTCTGAAGTATTGAAAATATTATATTACTCATAAACTTTTTTTCAAACTATACTAACTTGTGAAAAGAGGAATTTTATAAGTGACACAGGTGGGTATATTTTTGAAAGTACTGCATGTTTATATATTCTAAATGAACAGATTATTGTGCATAGAAAACACTATTTTCAATTTTTAAATCCCATTAATATGTGCTATTTTCATCATTTGTAGCATAATTTTATAACACCTACATGACTCTGTCTTTGTATCTGCAAAAGATAAGTTGAGTAAACTCTCTAGATACATAAAGCAAAACAGAAGTGCATATCAACGTATAAATTTTTTGAAATGACAAATAATAATATGGCTTTTTGAACTCTTTAAAATTAGACATGATTAACCAGCTGTGGTGGTGTGCACCTGTAGTGCCAGATGCTGCTCTGGAGGCTGACAGGGGGTGGTCACTTGAGCTCTAGTTTTTGAGGCTGCAGTGAGCTATGATTGCACAACTGTGCTCCAGCCTGTGTGACAGAGCGAGATCCTATCTCTAAATTAATTAATTCATTAAATAAAATTAGGCATGGGACCGGAGGAAAATTTAAAGTCCTCCAAGTTTTTGAAGACAATACATCAATTTTATTTTTTAATTTACAGATAACTGCTTCCATTGTGAGCTTCCTCCACTGTAAAGTCACAGAATACACAGCTGTCCTCCATTTCCATAACCTATTTCTGAATCCAGCTTTAAAAATGTGTAAAATACTTGGCATTTTAAAGTAATTCCAAACATCTTGCTAAATATTTAATATTTGTGGTTAATAAGTATTGCTGTTAGTATTACGTCCTGCTTCCTGCTTTAGCTATGTTAATTCTGTCAGATCCCATAAGGAAACAGAGATTGTTTTCTGTGATTGGAACACTTCTCTGCTCCTCCGCAGCATGGGTGTGGCATGCAAAATAATGCCAACCCCATGTCAAGGGTGTCAGCAACCTCATCTCTCAAACCTGTGGTTGTTACCTTAAGTAACAAAAGAGACTGTGCAAGTGGATTAAATTAAGAACCCTAGCTTTGTGCAGTGGCAGTGTCATAGCCCAGGTGATTTCTGAGGCGCAATTATTGCTAATTTAAAACTTTTCCCAATACCCCACCATTACAATTTAAAATATAGTCGGCGTTGGCAATTTTTGGCAGTCTCTATGGGTACTGAATCATAAAAACAAAAAAGACATGGTCAGAGTATCCTGTTAACCTGGTGGGCCCAATGTAATCGTTAGAATACTTAAAAGATGAAAGAGTGAGACAAAAGAGTCAAAGGCAATGCTCCAGTGAAAGAAGAGTTTAGAGGGATGATTGCTGGTATGGCAGATGAAGGAAAAGGCTACAAACCAAGAAATTCAGGTGAACTCATCTATAAACTGGAAAAGAAAAAGGGATGGATTTTCTCTTAGAACCTCCAGAAGGAACACAATCTTGCCACCACCTTGATTTTAGCTCAGTGAAACCTGTTTTAGTTTTATGACCTTGAAAACTGTAAGATAATACACTTTCTGTTGCTGTAAGCCACCAAGTATGTGGTAACTCTTTTACAGCAGCAATAGGAAAAATACAATGGGTAACATCAATCCTTCAGTTAGCTCCCAAGTGAAACAGCACTTCTATCAGTAATTCTCTTTTCCAAACCAGCTATTAAATAATCTTTTATCATACTCTCATTCCTTATACTATTTTCCTCACTACATAGTGATAGTGTTTGATATTCTATGACACTTACCAGAACATAATCTCAGTAGAAGAAAAATTTATGTCAGGGTATATAGAATATTTGGCAGAAAAAAAATTTGATAAATATATTTGCATAGACAAAGGAATGAATAAAATAATAAAGCTAACTACTCATGCTACATATTAATGAGTGTATACATACACAGAATACACTCATTAATATGTAGTGCAGCATATACAGTATACACTCATAAATACGTAGTATGAATGAATGCACCCATGTACCTTTGCATGTGTGTGTATATGCAGCTTTTTAACTCTAGCTTTACTCATCACGTAAATCTGCCAGTAGAAATAAACTATTAAACGCTCTCAAATACAAAAAGGAAGAATATGGAAAGGGCATTTAAAGTTATAGGATGTGATAACGGAATTCTTTTATTTCTAAGTTTTTCTAAGTATATTGTAATCTAACTGGTAAAACTTACTCTGATTTGAAATAACACAGTAAAAATGACAATGAGATATCACTAAATACTCTAGAATGGCTAAATTTTCAAATGTTAGATTCTGCTAACTATTGGTGAGAATGTGGACAAGGTAACCGTATTTTATTGTAACCACTTTAGAAAATAGGTTGTTTTTGTTTGTTTGTTTGAGACAGTTTTGCTTTCTGCAGGCTGGTGCGATCTCGGCTCACTGCAAACTCTGCCTCCCAGGTTCAAATGATTCTCCTGCCTCAGCTTCCCAAATAGCTGGGATTACAGGGGCATGCCGCCATGCCAGGTTAATTTTGTATTTTTAGTAGAGAAGGCATTTCACCAGATTGGCGAGGCTGGTCTCAAACTCCTAGCCTCAGATAGTCCACCTGCCTCAGCCTCCCAAAGGATTACAGATGTGATTACAGGTGAGAGACACCATGCCTAGCCAGAAAATAGTTTGGCATTATATGAAAGCTAAACAAATATATTATCTCAGACCTTACATTTTCACTCCTAGACATGCTCTTTAGAAAACTACAAGTTTATGTTTACCAAGGTATGTATTAAATGGTGGTTATAACATCTTTTTTTTTTTTTTTGTAATAGCTAAATAGTGACCACTCTCCCTTGGGGCACACTCCTGCGTCTGCCCTCAATTGTCATGTCAGCTGGAGACTGTCTGGGGTGCTTCAGTTCTTCTCCACATGAACTCTCTCCCTCTAGTAGGCTAGATCAGGCTTGTTCACATGAGCCACAAAATTCCAGAGGAACAAGAGGAGGCACACAAATCTTGTTGTGGCCCAGTATTAGAACTTGTATGGCATCTTGTTATTGAATTTTAGTCACCAAAGCAAGGCCATTCCAGAGTCAAGTGTTGTGAGAATTTAACTCTGGAAAGACATGATGACATTTGTGGCCCATTTTGCAACCAATCACACTCAGTAATCATGGCATATAGATGTTAGCATTCAGACTTTTTTTTTTTTTTTTGGCATTCAGATTTTTATTTTCAGAGCCAGTGCTGCTAAATCCCTACTACTATTCTACTACTTTTTCTGTGTTTTTACCTATTGTCTGATCTATATTATATGATTCTATAACGTGTCCAAGTCCATATACACATAAATTTTTGAATTATTTTCCTTTTTTTTTTGCTATTAAGATAACCAAATACCAAATGCAGCCACTCAGGATATAAATTATATGATTATTGATTATGACTACAAGGGGATGATGGGGGTGCCATTGTGTATGGAGTTTTGCAGGGGGTGATGATGAATATTTCTAAAATTAGGTAGTGGTGATGGTTACATATCTCTGTAATGATACTAAAATCTGCCAAATTAAAGACTTTAAAACATAATTTTATCGCATTTGAGTTGCATCTCAATTCAATAATATATATTGGATTTTTAAAAACTCTTTATTTTGGGTTTTCAAAAAGACCATTATTGCACTTTCTAATTTAAAAAATATAATTTTTTTCTTAGCAATTGAGCATTGTTTAACGATGCATCATTTCAGTAGTTTGGCCAGTATCTGCATGATGTGTTCGTATAATTGACATATACTCTGCTAGTCAATGACATGAATTAGAATTATGAAATTACTGCATTGAGAAGAGAAGCACGTCTGCCAGGGGCTCTTGGCCAGCAAGAGGGTCCCAACCTGGATGGGGGGTGCACGGAAGATAAAAGATGACAGCCAGATGGGGTCTGGAGGGTTGAGAAGCTATGCTTCACCAACAACTTTATTGCGCTCGATCTGATTATATAAGTTACAAGTAGAGTTGCTTACATAAAACACAAAAGTTATTTCCATGAGATAAAGGGGAACACAAAGTTTTACCATAAAATCACAAGTCTCCTTACATCAGATAAGTATAATGGAATAATTAAGTCACAAGGTAAGTAAGTTACGCCCAGTTGTAAATACTTAACAATTATAAATACTTAAGTTATTATTTTACAAGTAATGTAGCAAGGATCCAAAAATGAACACAACGAAGCAATAAACCATAAGGAACTGAAAGTGGACACAATGCCTCCCATGTCCTCATATCCATAAAGTAACGTCTGTTAATTATTTTGAATAGCATAGTCACTCTCTCAGTTCCTGCTTACCCTTAGCTCGACTTCCCCCAACCGGGGATCTGTGTCCGGGCTCAAACTCACCATATGGTGAGGCCCATTTCCTAGGGGCCTCACAAAGGAGCATTCCCCACACTGCATAAGATACTTGTAATAATGGGAAGAATGGCAAGGAGATGTCATTACATTTGTTGCTTTTAAATTTAGACTCACTGAAAATAAAAAATTATGTTAATGAATTTATCCACATAATTTAAAAAAATGTGATTTTCATGGTTTATTACAAAGAAAACTATTTTTATATGATTATGCCTATATATATCAACCAGGATGGGACAATACAGAAAGGACATCCATAAATGGTACATACTCAGCTATAAATGGTATTATCAGTCACTATTTAAGAAAGTCAAAAAAATTGGATGTTTGCTTGAACAGATTATTTGCAACAGAAATTAGAGCTTACATCTATAGAGATAGCAGGAGAACTTAAGGTGTAGAGTATATTAGGGATTTGGAGGATCAGAGAAGGTCATCAACAAAAATAATTTTTTAAGATGGTTGTTTGGGGCTGGGCACAGTGTCTCACACGTGTAATCCCAGCACTTTGGGAGGCTGAGGGGTGCAGATCACGAGGTCAGGAGATTGAGACCATCCTGGCTAAGGGTGAAACCCGGTCTCTACTAAAAGTACAAACAATTAGTCAGCCATGGTGTCATGTGCCTTTAACCCTAGCTACTTAGGAGGTTGAGGCAGGAGAATTGCTTGAATCCAGGAGGTAGAGGTTGTAGTGAGCCAAGATCATGCCATTGCACTCCAGCCTGGGCAACAGACTGAAACCCTGTCTTAAAAAATAAATAAATAAATAAAATAAAATAAAATAAAATAAAATAAAATAAAATAAAAGCTGGTTGATTGGAACTATTTATAGGAAAACTCAGACTTTTGTTTGTTTGTTTGTTTTTATGTCTTTATGTCTGACTACCAAAAAGCAACAAAGAGAGAGCTCATTGGGAGGTATGTGAGTACTGTCATTAATAAGAAAATTGCAGTGAAATGCTTTAGAGTTGGAACAAAAATTCTATTGGTTGGTTGTAATAGTAATGAGGAAGAAAAACTGGATGTTGGATACTTCTGGGCACTTCTGTATTTGTCTGTCACCATGTGTGACTACTACAATATGCTGAGAGGAGTGATTCGTTCTCACCCACATACAACTGTTGGCTGACTGTATGTAAACCATACAGTGTTTTTTTGTTTTTTTTTTTTTTTCCAAAATGTGGTTTTTTAAAAACTTGTCAATTCTTGGACTTGAAGTAATTATATATACCATGTATTTCAGTTAGTAGTTTAAAATGAGAATGAACTGATACATTTTTATTTCTATAAATGTTGAGAAAAAAAATAAATTCTAAAATAACGTATAGTGTATTATATATGTGACACTTAAAAAATATCAAAAACACTATTTAATGATTATGTCAGGAAGGATTTAAACTCCTCACACAAATGAACACAAATGCATATCAGAATGTTAAAAACATTAATCTGTGAGTTAGGAACATAAGTGTTTATTATATATTGCCTTAGTCCATTTCCGCTATTAAAACAAAACACCTGAAACTGGATAATTAATAAATAATGAACACTTATTTATCATAGTTCTGGAGGCTGAGAAGTCCAAGGTCAAGGTGTCAGCAAATGTAGTGTCTGGTAAAGACTTGTTCCTTTCTTTCAAGATAGAGCCTTGTCGCTGTGTCCCTTGAATGGCAAAAGCATATAGTCTCTCATAGTTGAAGGGACAGAAGGATCAGACAGCTCCCAATCCCACTCACAAGAGCAAAGCCCTCAGACTTAATTGTTACCCAAAAGACCTCACTTCTTAATACCATCCCACAATGGAAATGAC